CGCGCAAGGACCCTCGGGATCCAGGACATGGCACGCACTACGTACTACGCGATGCTGCTCGACCAACTCACGCGCTGGACAGCGCCCTCAGTGGCCAAACCGTAACAATATTATTGTAATTACTGGTTCCATTTAAATAATGGACCGAGACGAAGAAAGCTGAAATTTCGTTTACACTTAAAATGCTTGGTTTAGGAAAGGTAAATATGTCGATGGGAGAAGTGTTTAAAGAAAATAAATCGTAGATCTACGCTTTCGTCGTAAACATCCTCAGTATACTGCACTGCTGTACGATGTCATTTTAAAAATTCCTTACGCGCGCGCACCCATAGCAACTGTGTTGCGTACGTGTAACCTGGAAAAATGACACACTTTGGGGAACTCGCACTAAAACTACTACAACTAAACTAAACTCAGGATCTTTGAAGGGAAAAGGCGCGAGGAGATTGAATAAATAATAGGGACAAGGGACACAATTCTAGATTTCGAACAAAAAAGACATAAAGAATTTATTTACAAGAACTTTCAAAATGACCAGATAATTATAAAACCTAGACCACGAAAATCAAGTAAGAACTAGTAAAAACCAAAACTTAAACCTAAAAAACCAAAGACTCAAACCAACACAGTGTTGTATATAAAGTGGACCTTAAAGACACTTCTGGCAGAAATCTGTTAACAAGATAAGAGAGTAAAGAATATAATAAGAAACAGGTAATCAATGCAAACAACTCAAGCTACACTAGGTCTAAAGTAATATAAACAATGCCATGTGGAACTACTATACAGTCTTGCCAAGAACACTAAAATTTTTCGTGAATACCTAATGAGCAAGATAAACAGTGGTCCTTGTCTTCTGAATTCCAGGTGGGACTAATCACTAAGGGGGTAATTCAACATTCCTGAACAGTAAACTTGAACAGGTCCAAAGCAGATAAGAATTAACTAAATGAAACAGGTGGCTAAATACACAATAAAGGAAATGCAAGTCTACAGTAAATGAACAGCTTGAACAAGTCATAAACATGGCAAACTAATCAGTAAGAAGTCTGTGGGAAAACCACTCCTCTTGGCTTAAAAACAATGTCAATGGAAAACTATACATTCTACTAAAAAACAGATTTCGAAAGAAAATGAAGCAAGTATCAAAAACCAACAAATAATCCAATCCAATAATCAAACAGACAACAAAATATATCTACCACTCAAGTAAAATCAGACAAGAAAACCCTAGCCATTCCTAGGAAATTAAGTCAAAATGAATGAATGAAACTTCTGTCTGGCAACACAGTACAATTGTCCTTAAAAAAAAAAACAATAGAACTCTAACAACGTGATCCATCACAAAAAGGCTTTAAGTTATAATTCTTCAAGTCACTAAACTCAACTGGTATAAACTTCAAAGCTGAAACTAAGTGCCCAAGATCCAAACTGACCAGAGTCAACTTTTACTTTAACTATAAAAAAAACTAGCCAACTTTCAAAAGAAAACTGAAATAAAGTTCTAAAAGCAATTATACATGATAAAAAGAGAACACATTTAAAACAATGGAAAACTCACCAAATGACTCGAGCAGACAGAGCTCAAACAGGACACACCACTCCAGTTAGGAGGAACATAAGATACCGGTATACTATGAAGTTGTCTCTGTTGGTCTGCTGATTGAACTTAAGTGTAGCTGGACCATGTGGCAGCTTATATAGGGGGAACATGTGGGCTAAAGTAAACAACCAGGGGGCCGGGGACACACTACCAAGAAGGGGGGGGGGGAATCTTAAGTAAAACTAAAATGATTTCTTTTTGTTCTAAAGGGGAGCTACTCCTATATACTATACACTTCATACATGAAAAATATACAAGATAAATTTGGCCCTGCCACATACGCGCGCGTCAGTCTCACGCGAAGGTGGTTGCATGAGCGCATGTGCAGTGCTGTATTGTTACAAGCTGCCGTATGACTGTTGTAAATTTGGCCAATCATTGCATTCCATGGGGCTGGATCAGTGCTGGTTCAGGGGCCATTTTTTTCCGCTAATCTATTGGTCTTTAAAGACATAGTCCATCATTTGTAATTTGTGCATTTTGTTCGTTTGAAGCAACAAAAGTGTTCAAAATCTAATGAAGGAGAAAAACAGCATTCTAGGATCTCAATTTCAAATCAAAAGTTGCTAAATCATGTTTTGAATTGTTTTGAATTGAAGCTTTACGCGATGTCGCGCACTGATCCAACGAATTACTTATTCTTTTTGTAAGTTCGGCGCAGCGCGCGCAAGCATTACCACGACGGTAATGCTTGCGCGCGCTGCGCCGAATAACAAAAAGAATAAGTAATTTAAATTTTCCTACGGATGCTTCTTAAGACGCACCGTTGGAAATGCCTTCTTTCGTTGATTTCTTCAAAATGAGAGCTTGCCAGAAAGAATAATTTCACAGGGAGTTTAGTCCCCTTACTCGTTGTGGACTTTCGATGAATTGAATTTATTAAATCTGATGTTTTTCACCCGTTTGTGTATTAAATAAACAAGAAATAAGAGAAAAAAGATGAGTGTTAGTTCGTGAAACCGAAAAGGCTGCGAAACAGTAAATTTTCGTTTTCACGAAGTAACACTCTTCAATGTATTCAACACGAGGAAAGTGCAACTTCAGGTCAGCGCGCGCGCGCTCATACAAATTTTTACAAGAAGAGTGTTACTTCGTGAAAACGTTTTTGCTCACTTATGAGCAGAGTGCGCGCCATGCATTGCAATGGTAAATGGAACTTGAGTGTTACTTCGTGAAAACGAAAATTGTCACTTTTGCGCAAAAGTTGCCATAGATACTTAGCGTAATTATTAAAGAAAAGCTCTTGAAGCTTTGAAACTTCGTGCAATGGTAGGCCTTGATAAAAAATGATTAAAAATCAAAAAAAACTGGAAATCGAAAAAAATATGGTTTAACACGGTAGAGTGTTACTTCGTGGTGTCGGTGACGGTACATGACGGAGACTAACGTGAAAGCCACAAAAAAACCCCAAATGGTCCCAGAAATTTAAACCTGAGTACAGTCATGGTACAGTCATGAGTGGCCGTTCATTAAAAAGTCAGAAGGGATTGTGTCATGCATTCTGCATGTAGCATTATCAGCATTGAATATGGAGGTCGTAATGATGTCCGAAGGCAAGTCGGAAGAAAAATACGTGATGTGGATTACTCGAATGCTCGGTCTAGTACGACTACGAGTTCGTTGTGCACTTGCTTCCCAAAGCAGTGAAGATAATGACATCACAATTCAACTGCACTTTTCAAAATTTTAAAATTTTCCAAAAATTGTAATTTTTTTTTTAAAAGTGTTACATTTTCTAATATTATTTTTAATTGGGGGGGGGGGGAGGGCTGGTACCATATTTCAATAGGGGGCGCTGTTCAATTTCGGTGATTATTAACACTATATTACAGAATGGTTTACCGTATTTTGAACAGGCAAACATACCAGTATAACTTTTTTGGGGTGTCACAGCGGGGGGGGGGGGGGGGGAGAGTTTGGACTTATTTTTTTGGAATTTGTTTGGAAATTGGTTTTTTGGAAGAGCTGGGGGTGGTGATTGACCCCCCCCCCCTTTGGATCCGCGCCTGACTACTTACAATGTCAACCCACACATAACGACAAAGCAGATGAGAGTGACGTGTACAGCAGCTTTGTTGAAAGCTGGTGATACTCCGTTTGGTGATTCTCCGTTAGCCAAAACAGGCGCTGTTCCTGAAAAGGGTAAAAAGGCAATCGAATACAATATCTAACTTTATGAAAGTTTTGAATTTTTTTTTTTTTGGAAACTTTACGAAACGAAGGTTTGGTACGCTGCCATTGCCGTACTTCATGTCCATAATGTACAAGAACGATTTCAGGCCATAACCGAAGTGCCGTTTCTTGGTCCATGGTTTCATAAAGGCCGCGCAGTCTATAGACCGCTTGCAGACGCGTTCGATAATTGACGCGCGAAGGTGTGCGACGCCATGTTGTGGGACAAAATGTACATGGATAGATATGCGCTTGTCCTACAACATGGCGTCGCAACTTTTAACATTTTAAAGATGGCGTCGGCACGTAAAACGGATAAACTGCAGCCTAATTATAATGTGCCATATTTTGACACATTTAAATTACACAATTCCAGGGGTTAAGATCGCGCAAGGCATGATGGGAAACAACATGGCGCAGCAAGATCGTACCCATGGGGAACGAGGTTGTATTCCTGATATTTGACTTGATGAAGTTGATATCTGACTTCATTTAATTGATATCTGATATGATTCAATTGATATTTGACTTAATTAAATTGATATCTGACTCGATTCAATTGATATCTGACTTGATTCAGTTGACAATTGACTTGATTTAATTGATATCTGACTTGATTCAATTGATACCTGACTTGATTCAATAATTTTGATAATATCACTAAGCTTCATTTTTCCATTTTACCCAATAGACCCCTTGCATCCACGTCACACGTGAGGTCTTTTTTCCTCAGGAATCCGACACCCAAGAGTACACAAAATGTACTTATAATGTAAGTCAATTTCAATTGACTAAACCTGCTCTCACAATGCACCATGCAAGGGGTGTAAACGCATATTTGGTCGGTTTGATGAATAGTTTGATTGCGGTACCCGCTGCTACATATACATCAGATTCCAACCAGCCAACCGATCCCGTTAGCTCGGTGGTCGAATGGTAAGACATCTGCACTATAGAAATGAGAAAGTCGTGGGTTTGAGTCAAACCCGAGTGAGTTTTTCCAACTTTCACTCGGGAGGTAACACACTGCGTATACAGTGTTTATACGTCGGTGAAGGGCAAAACCTAATATTGATTTACATCACCCGACGAAAATTCCATCTTATGAATAGTTTCACCATTTTGTTTCCATTTCTTTTAACATTTCTTTTATTCAGCTCATGTCATTTCCAATTCAAACCAAGTAAAAATATCTATTTATCGACTTTATCTGATTGACAGTTAATCCCCTCAAAATTGGCCCCGACATGACACTGCTATCTACCTGGATTGTTGTAAGACTGAATGTCATCGTAAGTTGCCTTTGTGGGGTGAGTTTTGGGGATGTGTACTATCATGCGTGCGTCTCTGCCGACAACAGCACCCACTGCCTCACACATGAATACTTCCTCATCGTCCGCAGAGGCTGTGACTTGGACAGATGCTGACGTTGAATAGGTGTTGTTCCTCAACGAGGACCCTAATTGATAGATTTCAAATCGATAGATATATTTTGGGAGACCTGATTGAAAGAACGTACCATTTCTTAGGGGAAATGTAATTCTTCAGTCGAAAAAGGAGAAATGAAAAGCCCGTTGAGCAAGTATATACCTAGGCTCTTTCGCTTATGTTGGTCAAACAACTGGATTATATGTAATTCTATGCCAACACTTACATCAGAAAGCCTGGATAGGGCCTAACTATTAGGAGAGAAACATGTCGGAACGAATAGGCCTAGAGAAATCAGCATTGAAAGATCTACAGGGACTACGGAAGTTTACAGTGACCAAGCAGAACACGATCTTAGGAAGAACGCTGCTTACCCGTGTAGGCCGGTAGAACTACAAGTTTGACTGTTGTGGAGGCCTCGAGTTCCAATGCCCCGCCCGAAAACAGACGGAACCACCTCAATTCCACGGCAGGTTTGACCTGCTCCATGACGCACGTAAGGTTGTGCACTGCACTGTCGTACAATCGTGCCTCGCATTTGTCTGCTTCGTGATGGTCTTGATTACAGCTGATGGTGAGAGAAATTCGGATAATTAACATTTAATGGGACTGCAAATAAATAAGATCGTTTTGAGAGTCAATAGGCTTTAGTCTTGAGCGAAAGAGGACGCTAAGTCGCCCTTTCGGGGCAAAACAAATGTGAATCGACGAATAATGACCTACGTTTACATTTTGCAATACAAGTTCAAAAATATATATATTTTTTACAATCTCTATATTTCAATAAAATTTGCCCAGTGTTTGATGTCTATGGTTTGAATCCAATTATGTTGCGCCGGTACAGCGCCCCCATCGCTATTAAAAAATTGCCAATTAAGCCAGATCCAAGGGTACATAATCGTGTAGGCTGTAGTTCTCCTCATAACTGGGCTTAGATCTTCAGGTTTTGTTCTTTCATCCAGAGAGGAAAGTTTTAACTGGAATTACTATCACCATGCACTTACCTCTGTCATAAACTTCAACCTGTCCCTCTTCTATCATTCTGAAACGCGCTTTCAGCTTATAGTAGTAGGTTCCCTCGTTGTAGGCGGTGACGTTCTCAATGACGAGACTGAACTCATTGTCGATATCATAGACGCCCTCTGGGATCCCGTTTTTAGGAGCCACTCTTCCCAGGAAGTATGAAATGAGCAGGGATGTCTCGCTGATTGAGCCATAGTACCAGTACATTGCGTCAACGTTTTCTGGTGGGATTTGGCGAGATTTGCCGAGAGGACATGGCACTTTCCCACGTTGGCCTCGCTCCAAGAACGCGGCTCCATCGGTGTTCGTATGAGCAATTGCACTTACATATAGGCCTTAACCAAATGAAGGAGAAATGATATCTGATTTTCTTGTCAAACGGTTCCTGGACAGTTTTATATAAAAGTCAACTTCTTTCCTGACAACATTGATTTACTAGTGATTAGTTACTGTAATTTAAAGTAAACAAAAGTCCAATCATAGTTTTTTCAATGTGAACCAAAATACCGCCAGATTTGCCCCATGATTGTGTGTAAATGCAGGAATGAATGCAGGGTAAACTACGGTTCACAGGGCGCTTTTTAATGGTTTCTCCCAATGACGTAGTTAGGATTTCCCGAATTAAAGGTACTATTATCTGCCAGTAATTCACAGCCGTTTTTTTTTAACCACGTCAATGTGTTACAATCAACCTCAAAAGACTATAAAACTTTCGTAATCATTCAACCTGTAGTTTGGTAATAAGATTGCGGAACACAATTTATGATTTACAATCCATGCATCCAGATTGAGTCATAAGTCGGTACTGAAACCTACCTGGATTGCTGGAGGACTGAACTTCATCATAAGTTGCCGTTGTGGGTTTAGTTTGGGTAATTAGGCACACCCTCGTGCGTGTAGTACTGCTTCCTACAGCAACACCCATTGCCTCACACACATATTCTACGTCATTGTAATCCGAAGGAACTTGGATTGTTGCTGAAGTTGAATAGGTGTTCCTCAACCACAAACCTGATCGATAGATTTATAGATACATAATACATGTATATGTTTTAATAACTAAAGAAAATCGAAAACGATCATAACTGTGTATATGGGGCGCTGTTATGTTCAAGGTCGACGATATTTGAAACAAACACACGACGGACGGACACACAATTGCCGACCAAAAGAACTAATACTAGGGACAGGAGAGGGGTGCACCCGGCCCCACGGCCTCACAACCCCTCCAGCGATGCCAATGAATACACGATTCCTCCGTGATCTTACGAAAAACATTGCTTACCTATGTTGGCCGGTAGAACCACAGGCCTGACTATTGTTGAAGCCTTGAGTTCCGTCAGCCCGCCTAAAAACCACTTCAATTCCACGGCAGGTTTGACCTGCTCCATCACGCAGGTCAGGTTGTGCATCGTTCTGTCCTGTCGTACTCTCACCTCGCACGTGTCTGCGTCGTGGTCTTGATTGCAGCCGATGACGGTAGGATATGGTCGACTTGGGGAGACTGTTGGTAAAGGGTAATGGACATCATTAATTTTGCACACACAAAAATGGATTTTCACTTATTCAAGGAACAATACAATGAATCAGAAGAAGGTTATTCAACAAACTTGCCTGCCCAAAATTCAGCTCAGATACTTCGGCAAAAAACACTGAAAGTGCATTCTCTTGTGGTAAGATCCCACCGTTTGTCATTTCGAGATGAGTTCGCCTTAACGATCGGGACAATGATAGGAATTCCTCTTCTCTCGAAAAGGACAGCATACTAGGTCCAGTGATTTCACATGATGTTTGATCCTATTATTTATTTACAGTAAAGTAGGACATTTCCTAATATGTTGGTACTTTTCTTTTTGAATGATTGAGGTATGTTAATCAAAGTGTGATTCAGAGATTGAGGGTTACATTCGAGTAAAAACTTGTCCGAGACTCGAGACAAAGTACAGGAACCTGACGTCATTATTGTAATCGACCTGGGGCCAATGTCATAAAGCTGCACAGAAATTTCCTTAACACAGGAAATATTTGCTTGGCAAACAATTTACCTGCCAACATGCCATGTGATTATTATTGCTTGTGACTGCAGGTTGCCAGCTCATCTTCGTTTAGCACGTATCGTGTATATAATTATATGCTAAGAAATAGTTGCTGTTTTAAAATCTCCATGAAATTGGGAAAGGTGCAGATCCAAATGTCGGGATTTTCTCAATAAATATTCTTCCAAATTTAGTGTTTATATTATAGTGACAGTGAAACAATTAAACTTTTTGTTTTTGTTTTTGTACATTTTAAAGGAATTTGCTAAATGCTTAATTAGTAACATTTGAAGCAAACAAGTAGATAAAGTAAACTCACAAAATGGACTCACCCTTGTCACAAACTTCAATCTGTCCCTCTTCCATGCTTTTTAAATGCGGTTTCAGCTTATAGTAGTAGGTTCCCTCATTGGAGGCGGCGACGTTCTCAATGACGAGATTGAACTCATCGTCGATATCATAGACGCCCTCTGGGATCCCGTTTTGGGGAGCCACTCTTCCGAAGAAGTACGAGATGAGGATGGATGCGTCGCTTGGTGAGCCATAGTACCAGTACATTGCGTCGACGTCTCCTGCCAGCATTTTGCAAGATTTGCTCAGGCGACAGGGTACAACCCCACGGTGGCCTCGTTCCAAGAACAAGGCTTCAACGGTGATTGCTTTGACTAATGTGCCTAAAATGAACGAGACATAACTTCTGATTTTACTACATATAGCCTATAGGAAATCTAGGTCAATCAAAATTCTTTTTGGCACGATTGTATTGCTCTTCGTTAGTAATTTTAATTTGTAGTAAATTAACTCCAGTCAAATAGTTTTCTCAATTTGGACCAAAAGTCAAACACCGCCAGATTTGCCTTCATAATTGTGATTGGAGGCATTATAGAACATGATTAGAAGGAAACCATTGCCGTAGAGTGATTTCACCCCCAGATGTAGTCAGGATTTTCCGAAAGGTATTTGCCGGTAATTCACAGCCACTTTTATTAACTACATCCAGCGGCGGCGGAACGGGTTTGAAACTGGGGGGCATCACCAAAAAAGGGCACTTGGAAACTCGTTCTGAAATGTCGACAGGTTTTTTTCACCGGACACTTGGCCTCCGTAAAATCAAATTGGGGGGGGGGGGGGGGGGGGGGGGGGGGGGGGGGGCTGGTACCATCTCTCAACATAGGGGGCGCTCTTCAGAACCAATGATTATGTGCTAAATATGCATTATGTGCCCATTTTCAGGCCGTATTTTATGGGTTTTGTATGACTTGGTTTTCATATTCCTCGTTTATATCTAAAATATCTATACCATTAGTGGGATATGGTTACTTCTAAGAAATAATAAGATACTTTAAGGGCTTTTTTGTTGTATCATGAGGGGGCACTTTACTGTTCGAGGGGGCACATGGCCGCAAAAGGGGCACTTGGGAAAATCTAGGGGGGGGGCAAATGCCCCCCCCCCCCGGTTCCGCCGCCCCTGACTACATCGGGATTTCCCATATAACCCCAGTACTCTTTTAGACTTTAAAACTGAATTTACCTGTAATTTGGTAATAATATTGGGATTACTGAGTTTAGATTTACAATCCATTCAGTGCAGCCAGGTCATGAAGCCCGTTTCATACTCGGCGCAAAAGCGAAAGCGAACGCGAATTGGTGACGTCATGGCAAGTACGCGCCACGAACACATTTCAACTCGGGCGGATTTCGCAGCGAACGTTTCTTGACGTCAAATTCGCTTCGAATTCGCATTGGCGCCGAGTATGAACCGGACTTTGAGTCCGCAAAAAAGATTATTATTATTTTGTGACTGCTTACAGGTGCAGCATAGCAACAACAATGGTGGTACCCACTGCATTTGAATTCCGACTCGCCTCGTCATTTTGCCGTCTCTATAATGGAAGCAAAAATGCAATTATAACGTAAAATTTGTTGAAGTCTTTTCCAGAATTATTTTTTATTGTTTCTATATTGGTGCCTTACTGTTCATCTTTCTCAGAAAATAATACAAATTTGATATTGGCAGCAAAACAAAGGCTATTATATAGTGGTACATTGGGACCTTTAAATCCTGTGAATAAGGGTGCATAATGAAGAGATCAATTTCTGATGCATTTTTGAAATTCATTAGCAGCGCCGCCGTTCGATTACTTTCCTCGCGCTTCCTCGCACCTCTATAAGTCTTGGAATTAAGGCTACATGTATATATGCACGGGATATGTTATCACCCATCTCTAAAATTCTTGGCAAGAGCTTTCGCCACGATTTATCGGAAACACCTTGTCACGTGTTAAACTCGAAGAGGACAGTGACAGGAGAAAGAAATACTTGCTTGGCCCCAAATTACACGGAATTAAATTAATAAAGAGTCTTGTGCATTTGAAAACATGTAGGGGCATATGCAAATGAGGAATAGTCTGGTGCCGTCCTGTGCTTCACAGCAGCGATTGTTTTGTGTGGTGTCTAGGGTAAAAACATCAATTTGTCGCGGCGTGAGCATGGCGTGAGTTACGGAAACACGATTTTTTTTTCAAAATTTAAATGTTACAATCTTTACCAGACAAATAAGTGCAGTCACATTTCATAACTTGAACAAATTGGAAAGGAAATGATTATTTGTAGGAAATGTGTGGACGAAATAATTACAAGAACTTGAAAACACGTAATGCACGTTGGAAATAACAACACCAAGTACACGATAGAAATGTATTACTTTCCAGATGCGGTATCGAATCAGGATACAGGAAGAAAGTTTCCTATCCAGGGCTTACTATTAGAAACGAGGTTGAAAATAAGTCTATCCTGGGGACGAGGTCGGGTTAACAGGTGCATAAGGTCAAAAAAACAATAGTTCTGCTTCCGGTTTCCCTATACCTACCCTATTCTGACAGCCCCTATCCTAATTTTTTCATTGGAAAAATGAGGGGAAAAACACCCAAAACCATCACTTTATACCTTTTACATCGCTTGATATTGACTACACGCAGACCCCTCCATATGATGGTACACAAAAAGAATTGGCAAAAGAAATTCCCTACCCAACTACCGTATTTTCGAATGTCATGTAATCGGAAGCAGAACTATTTCTTTTGGACCTAATTAAAGAACATAACCCTTTGACCCACGTTCTGACTCTATTAGACTTTGGACTAAGCACAATTAATGTATTACGGTCTGGTCGTACACGAATTACCACCAGACTGTTGTAGGTGTTTGTAGTTTGTAAATATCATAGCCTATGGTAATGGTATAATCGATCAGTGTTTATGAGGTGCCACTTTCCCCTGATTTTTTTTTTAGCAGAAGTTTTTAAAATTATGAGGGCATATTTTGTTTCATTTGTTTCAAATACACATAGGCCTTTGTTCTCTTGCTCTTATAAAGTTTCTTCTGTATTCAAACCTTCTTCTAAAGTTTCTTCTGTATTCAAACCAAGTTGAGAACACGCACATAATTTGTAATTGTTCCGCGCTCGGTCACATAACTGACATGAATTTGAATATTTCATTACAGTGGATGCATATTTTGGGGGTGTGACAAACTGGCATGTAACGTATCAGAATTTTTTTTTTAACAGAATCTGAAGTCGCTATTGTTTGATTTTATTTAGTCACCGAGTCCGGAGCGTGAAAACGGTTTGACCTTCATACGTATTGTACGCGGCAGTTGTCCGCGTGGTCTCATCATGACGTATGACGCGCTAAAAAAATACGCGAAATGAGACTCCACTACAGTTTGTTTTACCTTGGTTTTATCCGCCTATCGTGCGGCCATCGTAACCCGTGCATAAAGTGTTAGGAGGTGCGTGGAAATTGCCACGCCTTTTCCGAGTCGGTCGCACCACGAACCGGCGTATCTCGATTTTTTGCCAAATTGAGTTTTGTCATTAACGTTATTATTTCATCAAAGTGCTCATTCTCAGAAACTTTTATTCCGATCAGAGTTCTAAATTAACTAAGAACGCTAATTAGACTGTGCGGCGTATCTCTAAAAAAATGAAAAATGCTGCACCACGAAGTGGCGTATCCCGATACGCCGCTTTATACGCTAATTCCCATAATGCTATGACGTCACAAAGGAGCGTCGACATGAAAAATTTGAATTTAGCGTCACGAACCGACGTATCTCCGTATCTGGAAAACGGCCACTAATAAGCGCGTTGTATGACATACGATAAACAGGATAAAAATCTGTTTCACGAAGTGACGAATAACTTTGGAGCTGAATTTCTCAAAAACTTAGCAACTCAGATGCACATGGATTGCATACAATAAAGTTTAATCTATAATTTCCTAGCAACAACTTGAATTCTTACACAGGGAATATACGGAATGAGCCTACAAAATAATGACCAACTTTAAATCCGGTTTTCTCGAAACACACAAAAAAATACGATACGTCGGTTCGTGGTGCAACGGACGGATTGATCTTCCTCAAACTCAAAATGCGTGGCCCGTCGGATTACCGTCCGTTTTTC